CATATTGCAAGAGGTGAGCTGGGCAAGAGTATGACAGGGACACAAATCTGGCAATCTGGTTGTGGGAACAGGTAGATGAGGAATCTAGATAGAGGGGGCCAACATCTGGGTAAAGCCCAGGTAACCAGGAAATACAGTGCCCTTCAGTATTGGTTGCCACAAAAAACACCTGGTAGGGCTTGCATCCTACACTGATTTGTCTACAGCACAAGAAAACATGGGGATATTTGGAAGGCCCATGGGGCATTTTTCCCAAGTTCTATGATGCTAATACAAGGGTTTGTTCAAAAAGAAGGCTTACAAGTTAAGATGCTGGTGCTCATTCCTAGTCTTAGTACAAATTACATGGTTCCCCTAAACTTCTCTTCTCTTCCCCTAAAGTTCTCTTCCCAGTCCCCGCCATTAGGTCTTGGCTTTTTATTGCCATGTTATATAAACAGAACACACATACAAACATGATGTCGCTGAACCAGTGAGCCCTGCTGTTAGCAGGAAATGGGTGAAGATCAGTGCCCAGTCTTTAAAGACCTCACATACACAGCAAAATCAATAAAATCAAACATTCTCCTTCATTAGCATTGCTCACCCTGTGATTTGTCTCTGTCTGGAGAAACACAGCAAAGCTCTGTGTCTCCAGAAGGAGCCCTGAAACCTGGCAATCCTGCTCTTAAAGCCTAGAATAGAACTGAAGGAGGTATAACCACCCTCAGCAGATTGTGGGAGGTATTTTGTCTGTAGGACTCCTCAAATAACAAACTCTTCTTGAGTGTGGATAATTTTATTAAAAAAATGTCTGATGTGATAATGGATCAACTTCATGGAATCAAAGATCACAATCCCATCAGGCACAAAATCTCCACCTGACGATGAACTTTAAGACTTCGGCCAATATGCGTTTGAGCTTTCCACTGAATGAAAAAGTTGCTGGCACGTGGTCATACCAGTTGTACAAATATTACTAGTGGCAAGCAGAACAGGGGTTTTCTTCATGGAAATCATTGATTACATAAAAGCAGTGCTTGCACAACCAGTGCAATCCCATGCTACTACACTACCGGCAGAACAGGGGTTTTCTTCATGGAAATCACTGATTACATAAAAGCAGTGCAATCCCATGCTACTACACTACCAAGATGTTCCCCTTAGTAGGAGCTCAGCCTTACACTTTGATTGGGCAGATATAATAAAGGACAGAACTCTGCAGCTATTGGCATGAAATGATTTTAATGGTCTGCTTGGCCTTCACTACTGAAAAACAAACAAATGTGTTTGTTTGTGTGATTGATTGATTGATTGATTGATTGATTGATATTGATTGATTGATTGATTTAGCAATAGCAAACTGGAATAAAATAAGCTGCTAAGAGACTATTATGTTATCAGAAAGATATATGCTGAGCATTTGAAGTAGGGCACAGGACTGTTCCCAGAAAAGTGAGCATCTAAGTTCTGATTGATTAACAAATTGCATGGTATTAATTTTTCATACAGAAAGGTTGAACTAAAATGACTGTTTGGACTGCAAACCCCAGCTAAGAAAATCTGCATCAAATTTAAAATTTGGATTCTGAGATTCAAACTGACTTAATTCTTTTTACATTGTAGCATTCTTTCAGTGTGAATACTAATATGAGTTCTTTTTAATGGCCTCTTGCATTTTGCACACACCTACCATTAAATAACAGTGCATATTTAGTGAGATTGATATTACTGTAAAGAGCAGTATCCCAAGTCCAGTGGTGACATCAATGAGCGTTAAGCTGAATATGATAAATGGTTATCATATTTTGTATACTGATTGTGAGAAGAGATGGGATATTTCAAATCCCACCTCCTTGAACTGACCTGTCCCCTTATGGGTTGCAGTGCACACAGCCAGTGTCTTACTCATCACACCAATCTCCGGTGAAGCCTGGCTGGTGCTTTTTCACCTTCCTGCTCTTCTGGCCACTCATCAGCTGAGGCAGAGAGATTCAACATCCCACCCCTTTGGCTGGAGTAGCCAGAAGAGCACAATTTTCTTGTTGGAAATTGGCACGATGAGCAAGACACTTGGCTACATGCACTGTGCAGTGACCCATTAAGTGGACGGATCAGTTTAGGGAGGCAGGATTGGGGATCCCGGCCACCTGGGTCCAGGACATTTGTATACAAATATGAATATCCCATCTCTAATTGTGAGCTCACTCTATAAGTACCATTCCTTATGTAGCCAAAACGGTGACACCTGTAGACAAGAAAGAGATACCTGCAGGCTTCCAAAAACTGAGTGTGTTGAGAATAATACCCAAAAGTGGCTAAAAAGACTGAGCATGCTTAGTGAATGCAGGATGATGTGCATCTGTTTTAGGCAGAAATTAAAACCTAAGGAGGAAGTGGAAGGGAATGGAATGGGAATATCCTTGAGAAAGACCTGGCTGTTCAGATGGATCACTGAACAGGAATATTCCTCATATCAGCATTTTGTCCAAGGTTCCATTTGCCTTCTAAAATGTTTAATTTGATGGAGTTCCTACACTGGTCCATATAGTACAACCAAGCCTAATCCAGCTGGTAGTGACTCCAGCATCTCAAGGAAGGGCACTGCTCAGAGAGAATTTGGAAGTTACTGCTTCATGTGTAACATTTTTGCTTTTGAGGGTAATGAAAGTAATAACACAAAGTACCAGAATGATTAGGACCACACTCTCATCTCTTGTTTAAACATCAGTTTTGGGGGATATATTTCAGGATACTGTCGGGAGATTTGAATGAAATTTTAGTGAATGTTCTTAACTTGGATAGATTTTTATTAGTATAAATAGGAATGAATATCAAGAAAAAAAGTAATAGATAATGGGATATGTGATGAAGGAAATAGGAGTAAAAGTCACTATTTCTTTTTTCAGATTCTCCTGGGGGCTCTGTTCTCAACTCTGCAATGGAAAATGAATTTAAAGTGGAAATGTTGGGACTTGAACCCAGGGCTTTCTGCATTTCAAGCATTCAATAGCGAGGGTCTGGTCTCCTGATAGCGATCATATGAGAACAAGTCTTTGGCATAAAAGTGATTTTTATACAGTATACAATTTGTACTTCCTTGTGAAAAGTACTTTTTCTACAAAGCTCACATACGTCTTTAGTGCAGCATACACCTCACACCCTCAATAACAGCAATGTAAAAACTACACACATTATTGTGCTATGCAACCATATTTGCAATTCTGGATGCCCTGAGGCATTAACGTATCTTGCTTGCTTCACAACTGGTATAATAAGAGTACAATTAAATACTTATATAAGTTCACACACTTCCTTCATCCCAAAGAGCAAATTATAATAAAATACAACTTTTGGATTTTGAGATGAGCAGAACACAGCATGCACCTTTCGTGAAATTGATATTCTGATTTTAAAACCATTAATCTAAGGGCAGCGCACTTGTGGCTGGCCACATGCTGTTGAAATCTTATTTCCATCAGCCCTTGCCAGCACGGTCAGGGGTGAAGACTGTGGGGAATAGCAGCCCAGCCTCTGGAGGGCCTCTGCTTCCCCAGCCTGCTCTGAACCTGGGTGGGAAGAAATCTCTGAAGAGCAGAATTCAGCCTGAGTGAGTTCATCCTTTCATTCTGACCCCACCCAGCTGATAGTCTCTAGCTCCTGGTATCAGACACTCCAGGGGAAAAGCCCGGAAACTGGATGAGTAATGTTAATTCTGCTCCACAGGTCCCTAACAATTGTTCTCTGGCTGCTGTTCCTTTCTATCGCAGGGAACAGAAGGGAAGGTAGGGGAAAGAGGAGGGACAGGTAGGAAGAGCGTTTCCAGAGCACAGCTGGGGGCTCCACAAAGGGCTCCTTCCCAGACAGCCCTTCCGATGCAGATCACCTTGAAGACTCTCCGTGTCAGAGGCAATGGGCTTGAACACTCCCCTCCCCGTGCCTTAAAAACCTCTCCGAGGCGGACGACTGCTACCATTGCAACATGAATAGCGCCCCTCCCGCTCTATTCCCCCCCCCCGCGTCTACCGCCCCCCCGCGTCTACAGCCTCTCCTTGGGAATCCGTCAGTTCCGCCTGCTAGGTCGCATTTCATGCTCCGTGGAGGGCAAAGCAGCAGCCCTTCTCCTGCCCCCGGGGGCGGTGGCATCGCCACCCCTGGTTAGCCCGCGCTCGGTGCCCGCGGCTGTGACATCAGCGCCGAGGACTCTCCCTGCCCTTCTTCCAAGAGGACTTCGCCCAACCCTTCGCTCGCCTGCCCGCTCGCCCCCTCCCCGGTTCCAACCCGTATCCAAAGAGATGCCGGGCTCCCAACGACCAGGGCTTCCTACGGCGCGTGTGCCACCCACCGACCCACCCACCGGCCCTCGTTTTCGGCGCTGCCACCCCTCCTCCCTCCTTTCCAGATGCTGTCAGCTACACCTCACTTCACCCCCCAGAAGAGCAATTCCAGGAGGAAAATTCGTGCCATTGTCTGACTTGCACTGCATGCCCGTTTCTCCTCCTCCTCCTCCTCGTTAACTCCTTCCCTCCCGGGAGTCCTCCGCTGACTTCTCCGATCACCCTCACGTTCAAAAGAGAAGAACAAGAAGGGAGGCAAACGTGTCTGCTCCCCGCCACCCTGAGCACGGCGTGGTGTCTTCGCCTTAAGAGCCCAGGCTTGCCTCTCTCACATCTTTCACGCATTACCTCCGACGCCCAGAAACCCAACCCATCATTTGAGGGGGGGGGGCGAAAGCCCCTCAGAAGTTGACTTCATAATATTACACGCAGAAAGCCATCCTCCGCTCCCTCACAAACCGTACTTGGAAGGCAACGCCGCGCTTCTCCCTCACCACCACCCCACTGCCCGTAATATAATCCTTCTAGGAGCTGCGAGGCGCTCTCTCTCTCTCTCTCTCTGTGTGTGTGTGTGTGTGTGTGTGTGTGTGTGTGTGTGTGTGTGTGTGTGTGTGTTTCTGCATTTTGCCCTCCGGCTTTATCGGAGCGGGGTTGCGCCGCCGTGGGCAAGGCAAGTTGCCATACCTGAGGCTTGGTCGTCTTCCCGCGCCTTCAGGGAATCAGTGCCAGCCGCAGTCTCTCCCGCCCGCCTTTCGAGGGGCGCGCGGGGCTCGCCCGGGCTCGCTCACCCCCGTCACCGCTGGGCGCCTTGCCGCTCGCCTCCCTAGCAAGGCTGCCGGAGACGCCGCCGTTGCTCCCGCTGGAGGAAGGCGAGGTGCCCCCGAAGCCCAGCCAGCCCCCGTCGGCCGGCAGCAGCAGCAGCAGCCGCGGCAGCACCACCGGGAGCAGCTTGGCGGCACCTCAGCATTTTCTCCTGTCACTTCGTCGGTAGCCGAGAGGGGGAAACGTCCATGAGAAAAATGGCATATTACAATTTTTGCTTGGAGAAGCAGAGCTCGGTTGAGACCATTGTTAAGCGGAGGAGAGGGGGAGAGGCGGCCCTTAAAGCTCCAGCAGTCCCTTTCCCTCCCTCCCTCTTCTGGGAAAGTCAGCGGATTAAAAAGGGAGGGGGAGGAGGGGGAAAAGAAGTAGAAGCAGGAGAAGGATTTTGCTTTTCTTGGAATTAAACTTTGTGGAGTGACAGCTGGAATCGCATCTTCTTGACCAGTTCTTCCAAGGGGAAAGGGGGGGGGACCGACCGGGCTGATTTTTTTAAAATAGTAGCAACGAGCGGTTTACAAATAAAATAAAAAGAGAAATCACACTATACCTCGACTATGTGTACATTTAGACCTGTGTATAGGAAAAGCTCGCTCTGAGTAACATCTCTGCGAAGCCACTGATGACAACTCTCTATTCAGATTTATCCCACAACTCATTATCTCTGTCTCTATATACAGACAGATAGACAACAAAGTGTATAGATGGTTTCAGAACGAGGTAAGATGTAACTTCTCCATGAACATGCACAGGTATCCTGCATGGCTATATAGACTAAATTGAAGAGAGAAATGTCCCTGGCCTCTAGCAACTGTGTCATCCAGGACGGACAGTCCAATATCCAACATGTTTGAACTTGCTTATGAATTCAAATGTAGGTTGCAGAGAAAATGTGAAATGTGATAGAAATCCTCCCCCTGTTCATTACTTGGATGAGTACGCACAGGAATGAAAATCCTCCCTACTGCAAACTTATGATTTCTTCTCAGAAACTGCAACTCAGTCCTAGCACATATCATGGATTTACTGCTCTCAAGTAAGTGAGCCTAGGATTGTTCTTGTGAAGATGCCTAATAAAGACAGTACGTTTGTACCTCTTTAAGTTTCCCTTCAGGTACGGATCTCAATAGAAAATGCCTTGGTTTCCTTAGCTCTTATCAGCTCCTTTGTCCTGTTTTCTCACACTTTTTATACCGTCCCCAGCTCCTGGTTTAAATCTTGTTCCTGCTTGTTCCAGGAGTTTCTTTTGCAGCATCCATGTGGAGTTAATTGATTTAATTAATTGATCAAAGTAATTACTGTAGTTGCTTGCGGTTTGATTGGAGGAAAGGTGGTGTTCAGCGTGGTATTAGCGGTCTCAGTGTGTTCACCGGGCCATAGGACTCTCATAAGTGCAGAGAAAACCGCCTCGTTAGGGTTTCCATATAGAACCCCATAGTTCAAGAGTGAACTTCTCGAAGAACTGTAAAATTCTTCTAGGTATATGCTCCATCAGAGCTTGAAAATTTAAGAGTTTGGACTACAACTCCCAGAATCCTCCAGTCAGAATGCCCGCTGTCCATGCTGCCAATGTATTCGATAAACGAAAGAAGAGCCAGTGTGATGTTGTGGATAGTGTAAAACTAAGATTAGGAAGACCTGGCTGGCCGTTCAAAACCTGATTAAGGTCGCCATGACGAGGAACCATAATGACAGCCCATTACAGCTAAAGTGCTAAGAAAAGTGACACACCTCTCCGTTCCAGCTGACACTCACTGATGGAGAACGACTCCTTTCTTTTGATTTGCAAACCCTTTGACAAACCACCCCAGAATTGGCCCACCTTCTTCCCAACAAGGGGACCATCAACGGTAGAGGTCGTATCAAAGTGCCCTCTGTGAGACAAGAGAGGGAGGACCCTTCAGCTCCGTCGATGCTTCCGCGGAAGTTTCACTGCATGAACCAATTACCAAGAGATAATTAGAACGACAGGGATGTCCAATTAGTAGCCTCGCGCAAGGGGGTCCCCTCTTTGAGAATCGGATCTCGCAGGTGATCGCTTGCTGTCTGCATGCTACAAACCACGAAACCAAACCAAACCAGAGAAGGACCTCTCCTAGAGACCAGTTACGCCGTTCCTGGTCCTCTCGGCTCCCTGTGATCGTGCAGGTACCGGCGAGCGCGCCGCGACGCTAATTGACCCGCTAAGGCCAACGTGAGGATCAAGGAGCGGGAGGCGTGTCTCTTGCGCTCTCTCCTTGCCAGGCTGGGGCTTCCCCTGGAAGCTGCTGCAGTGGTTTCCACCAGTCCTTAAATAAATTCTGAAGTAATCGCGTCAGCGTCTCTCTGCCTCACGCACACACAGGCACTTCAGCTCCCCAGATGCTGCTGATGCTGATGCTGCTGCGCTTGCACGGCTCGCCCCAGCCTTTAATTCTCCTCTATCCACTCCCACCCCTCCCAAAGGGCAACGAAGCGCAAGAGTTATTCTTAGTCAAGCGATGCCAGGCCAAGAAGTCGGGAGATTGGCATCAATAGCCAGCCAGCGCCAGGGCGCGCTTTCTCCCCTTCTTCCGATCGGGATTGCCGTTCCGCCGATCAGAAAGGAAAGCATCTCTCTGGGTGCCTTCGTCGGAGGCACGCCCTTCTTTTTGGCCCGTGGTGTCCTCTAAGGGGCGGGGGGGGGGTTTCCTTTCAAGCAGCTGTGCTCTCTTGTTCTCAATCTCTGGCTGCGCATTCAGCACGATTTAGTGGACAGAAGTCCTGCTGGTTATAGTGGGACGTAACCTAACCAAAGGTTTAAGTCTGCATCTGGCCACATCTGTCTGGTTTCTTTGGGACTTACTTTTCAGCAGAGATGCCTAGACTCCGTTATGTTTGAATAATCTGTTTAACTGTGTTTTGATGTTAGAGTTTACTATAGTTTCATTTGTCGCCACCTTTTTATATATATAAAAAATCAATATACTATATTGTGGCGTCTTTGAATCCCTGTCTTTCAAGAAGGGTGGGCTGTACATTAAATAAATCAGCAAGATTTTTAGCCCTGTGCCTAAGTGCTTAGAAGAAAATCCCACAGAATTCAATGGGACCTCAAATTAGACCTGCCTATGTCTGCTATTTCTTTGCGTTTACAGCACATAGATACTGTGCTGGAATCAGCAGAAACTGTAGAAATGTATGTTCCAGTTCACCCCTTTTTCTTGCTTTTCTCCACTGCGACTAGAACCAAATAAATAAATCAATAAACCCACTGGTGTGTTGATACTGGATGCTTGTTCTCTGGATTTTCCACACTAGAATGTCTTCAATTTTAACATGTCATCTGCCCGATGCTATAATAAAATTATTCATCTTTGCTTGCCTCTTCCATTTATTTTGGGTATTTACAAAAAAAAATGTGGCTTTGGACTAAGCAGGAAGAAGAGGATGCTTTTAAAAAGAACACATTAAGCAACCATTTCTGCCTGGGAACTGAGAAGCAGTCTAGTGCCGTGGTGATAGAAGCCATCTCTAAACTGTAGCCTTCAAGAAGTGTGAGAGTAGGGTTTCTCCCATTCTTGTGCTGATGAGAGTTGTATTCCTGCATATATGAAAGCTCTTTGGCAGAAGCCTGGACTTGAGCATTTGTTCTGGGTGGAATTTTGAGTCAAATCCCTGCACAGCTTCTTGGGTGCCCCAGGGCAGAAAGATGTCATGACACAGTTTTTCTATGAGGATGAGTGTAAGACTATGACCCAAGCTCACTGAAAAAAAGATAAGGTTAAAATATAATGAAATGATAATAAAAAGGACTTTGGGGCCTTTTACTTATTGGCTTCTACTATATGGCTATGATCCCATTGTCCATTCAACAACATTTCAAGGTACTTGTATTTGTTAGCATGCTCCATACTTTCATTTTGGATCTTTACTTACATTTCTTGGACTTTCCTTTTATTAATTATCATGAAATCAAATTTTAAAATATTTGTATTTAGGTCACACATAGTCATTGACTGTAAGGAACAACTTTTGCAGACCATCTAAATTGTTAGCTAGTAATGTGACACTATTCGCATATCAGATTTTGTAGATGACTTCTGCATTGACAGTGATACCTTTATGTGTATCAGCAAGTGATTTTCTAAAGATACTCCAAGAGAGTATAAGCTGAAATGCTCTCTATCCTTGGTGATCTGCTATTAAAACTTTGCAGCAACTTTTTCTTATTAGCATAGATTGCCAGCAACATGCTATCTCCTGAATCAAGATCCTTGTTAGTCAACAACCCAACCAGCTTACTGTGTTAGACTTTGAGAAAGGTTTTCTCATACCTCATAAAACAAGCATGCGTATCCACATTCATAGCATGATATTTTCTTCCAGGTGCTGTACATACGTATGAGTAGAGCAGGGTTTTCCTGCTTCCAAGCCCTTTTCTGAATCCTTACTGAATGTCTCTTGTCCCTTTTTCACACTTGTAAATTCTACCATATAATGATTTTAAGAAGACCTTGAGGAGATGGATCATTAATCTTATTGTTCTGCAGTCTTTAAAAACTTGGGGTAATATAACAAAGGTTGATCTCAAGCCAGATTTTGGGAATTATTTCTCTTTTGTAGACTGAGTAAAAAGATTCTTCAGAACATCCATGTCATCATCTTCTATTAGCTTTAATGCCTTTGTGAAGATTACTTTGGCCACCTGGTCAAGTAGAAATTATACAGCAAGAGAAGCTAGGATGAACTTTTGCAAAGGGTGGGACTCTTAAGTCTTAGATGAGAATATTTTGGCTGGTGGGGCTTTTTCTCATGATATGCAATACCTGCGGAAATTCTTCCAGGTGTCAGTAGAAGTCAGTAGCAATAAAGCAATGGCAAAAGGTCAGCACAAACACATCACCATTTCGTTTCCCTTTCTACAGTTAATGGTTGTTTCTTAGCTATAGGAATGAAAATAATGCTCAACATAGGCTTTTTAATTTTTTTTCTCTGAAAGACATGATTCCAATAAAGAAACATTTCCTCCTTTGGCACTCACCTAGCAATACACCAGAGATTAGGAAAGAAATGCTAGAACCCCAATACTATCTGTTAATGCCTCCTCATGTCCTTATGTTCCCATCATTTTATTTAAACACCATTTCCTTAACTAAGAAATGTCATATTTTTAGACTGAAACTCTCAAAGAAGAATGGACTTCCAGAAGTCCCCGCCTACCTTCCTGTGTCCCATTGGCTATACTGGTTCTGAGA